TGGCATGGTTCTTAAAATCATCTAGAACTTTTTGATGGTTTACTAATAAATGAATGAAACCTTAAAAGGTTCTGAATCTTTGCTAAAACCTTTAATAGTTTCCTATGACACCAATTCTTTTTAGAGAGCATAAGTCTACATAAGCTTGATAAGTGATTTTACGGGAAACCTGGTAGCTCAAAAGGTAGTTAACTGAAGAAAAATCGAATATCTTCGCTGCGGTTCAATCAAACGGAGTGATTTTTTAGTTAGTGATAAAAGTTTATTCAATGGTATGTTTGTTAAAAACTAATGTTAAACTCACAAAAAAAATCAAATGAGAAAAAGACATGTGGAACATTTCATTGAGAGTTTTTACTGACTATGTCAGTGGATGAACGGAAAAAATCAAAACATGCTTCATCAGTGTTACAATACTGGTAGAAGTTGAGCGATTTTTCGAAACTAGTTCGTTTACGATATGAAATTCATGTTCAATAATAAAAACGCACAATCAAGTTTCTTTAAGCATTAAATTAACAATTTTCTTGCAAAAAATCGCTGTAAGACACTTAGGAACCTGAAATATTGCAACTGTTAATTTTTAAACTATCTTCAAGAACTCCATTGTATTTGCATCAGTATTGTATTTTTCGTAAAAGTTGTTCTGATATCTTCCTCTCATCCACTAAGGTGGCAGCAAAAAATACCCTATGAAACGCTTCACATGCATTTTTCTCATTTATCAACAGGTGACATCCTTTTTAGTAAGGTTGATATTAATCTCTAAAAAAACATATTTGTCATTCTATTCATATGAAAGAGCTTTTGAATAAACTTGTATCACTAACCAAAAAAATCAGCCGATTTGATTGAATTGCAATGAACATAATCAATTTTTTCTTCAGTTAACTAACTTTTGGATCATCCTGCACATGTTGTCACAGACATTTTCTCTGAACCCTTCCGATTCGATAGTATCGTCGTGGAAAAGATCATCGCTTCGGTTGCATTTTCAAAAAATATATCAATCGATTAGAAATGACTTTCTATGGACAAAAACAAGTTCTGTACTTTTTCTCATCCTCAAGTCACGTTGATTAGCATGATTTAGAATCATTCAATATCAAATCTTTTCATTCATAACTTCAGCATTTTGTTTCTCTTTTATTGCAGCGTTTCTACAGATTCCTCTCAATGCTAAATGGACTCAGCACGGCATAACTGTGGCTGGAGGAAATAGACAAGGCAATAACCTTGATCAATTAGAGCGAGTAGTCGGTTTCTATATCGATGATGATCAAACCCTTTACATCGCTGGCCATGGAAATCAACGTATCATGAAATGGAAGCGTGATGCAACAAGTGGGCATGTGGTTGCTGGTGGAAATGGAGTTGGAAACAAGTCTAATCAGTTAAATTACCCAACAGATGTGATTTTTGACAAACAAACAGATAATCTTATCATATGCGACTTTTCAAACCGACGAGTAGTACGATGGCCTCGTCATGATGGCAGAAGCGGAGAAACGATTATCTTGAATGTGAAATGTGAAGATTTGGCAATGGATGACGAAGGATCTCTCTACGTTTCTGATGCAGAAAAGCATGAAGTTAGGCGATGGCGAATGGGTGAAAAGAATGGAACAGTGGTGGCAGGTGGTAATGGAAACGGTAATCGTCGTGATCAGCTCAATAATCCTGGATCCGTCGTCGTCGATCAAGATCATTCAGTGTACGTATCGGACTGGAGCAATCATCGTGTAATGAAATGAATGAAAGGTGCGAAAGAAGGCATTATTGTGGCTGGTGGTAACAGTATAGGGGATGCTCTCACACAAGTGCATTATCCAAATGGACTATTCGTCGATCGATTGAACACTGTCTATGTGGCTGATTCGAAGAATCATCGAATAATGCGTTGGCCACAAGGAGCCACAATCGGAAATATTATCGTTGTTGGAAACCACGAAGGCGATCAAGGGAACGAGCTTGATTATCTCAAAGGTTTGTCATTCGATCAACACGGCAACCTCTATGTCGTCGACTTTTGGCGTCATCGAGTGCAAAAGTTTTCAATCGAATTGTCGCCTCACAATTAGCGAATATAGATAGTTTTTTGTTCTTTTTTTCTCGAAAAATGTATCGCAAAAGAAGTTAAGAAATAAATGAACTGATTTCTTTAGAAATATTTCATGTTTATCTATTTTTCGCCTGTGTACAGGTCAACATCGGTCAGGTTAGATACCTGTTTCATAGATCTTCACCTATGCTTTTCGAACACTGAAAGTCTCTCTGTATTGAATGTACGATGCTTACACTTCGTGTGTCACATAATCCTCACCCTTAACATGTGCTGCTGTTTTTGCATCGCGTTCAACCTTACAGCTATCGGTTTTTTCAAAATGTGTTTGTAAAACATTTTTATTTTGCACATATCTCAGCATAGAGATATCATAAAACCTTGCTAATTTTTTTGATGATACCCCGTGAAAAGCTCTTCAAAATATGATAATACGAAATTCCTGATGATCTTTGTCAATAGTCTTTTCTATAATCAAAATAAAAAATATATAAGGCAGTACTACTTCTCACAATATTGAGCAAACTACAGAACAGGGTGTGGGTGTGGGTGTGGGTGTGAGTTTGCGTATTGCTGTTGATTTGTTCTTGATTCATATCCCCACCCCCACCCCCACCCCCACCCCCACCCATACACCCACACCCACACCCACACCCACACCCACACCCACACCCACAC